AGTCCATCAATACTCTGTACCCTCGTCCACATGGCTGCATGCAGATATCTCATCTCATAGCGAATCCCCGCAGCATCCACTTTCCCTGAACAGAGTACGTAGGCGGATGTTACTCGGTGGAACCCACCAAAGACAAATCCATATTGTGCACAGTGCAGACTGCAGTGCAGATTGCCTCCTTTCTGGACCCTGTATCAAGGTTAGAAGTGGGTAAACGTCTTCAACTGTATCGCACTGGAGTGACTTCGATTCTCCACTTTAGCATAAAGGGAAGGTCTAAAGACATCAATCCTATAGGGTGGAATGATGAGCCCCTAGAAAGAGCCCACCAGATACGAGGGACTCAACTTGTGGTTACCGAGAGTACGCCGACGACGATAACGAGCCCAGCCATAGATGTAAAAGCAAAAGATGGGCATTTTAACCGGCACATGGGAACTTCGCAATTCGAGTAAGACCACTAGACCATCTCGTAGACGACGCAGACCCTTACGGCAACGAAAGACGAGATATATTCGCGATGCAAGGCAGTTCTTCTGCCTCGTCTGCCGGCTGGTTCCACCTATGGTCCTCGTCTGAAGCTGTAGGGACAGATTGGCCGTGCATAACCGTCAACTCAATCTCAGTTGCCACCTTGAAAAGTCAAGTTCTCCGGATTTCGCTGCGACTTGACCAGGTAGTCCGAGGTATGTACCTACGAGATACAGGCTGGAGAAGCTATATGCGCATCTCTACAACAAGTACCCCAGAGGTACTCCGGAGATCCACCGGCGATTCAATCTCCTCCGCAAGGTGGCAAGCCAGTTCAAGCAGGCCATAAATTTCGCACTGCGAGTTTTCGCCTATCTGGACCTGAGTTAGCTTAACCTTTGGCGGAGATGTTCGGAGAAGAATCATCGGCCTTCGCCGCCGGGGAGTATCTTGTCTCTTGGATCTGTAGATAGAATCCGCACTTTTTGAGTTTGATTATCGAAGTGTATGAGGTGGATGTTGGCCACTGTATGGAGTAGGTACGAGGGTATGTATGTAAATCTGTATAGGTACCGTACCACGTACCACAGTATAAAACAGTCCCGTACGTACGTCCTGTAATACCAAAAACATACGTTACACGAGTCAGCCGTCAAATAGCATTGTGGGTCACAACAGGCAAACCCATGGAGCTGGCTTGGGAGTTTAAGTGGTAGGACCCGTCCCCGTACAAAGCTTAGAGCCAAGCTGTCCTGAACCTTGATATGTGGGCTCGCAGGATCACAGAATTGGAGATCATCAAACTTACAACTCAGTCCTGGCCAGTGCATGGTCCAAGCTCTTGCACTCTATCCAGATCAGAGTTCAGGGAATTGGTGGTAGCCGGCAAGAATTGCTTCACTTTGCTCGATCATCAGAAGCGGAGAGGTAAATACCGACAGGTGATTCTGCACTCATTGTTGATTCGATGGTTTCGAGTCGCCAAAAACCCAAAGTTCGTAACGCCTCCAGGAAAGCAAACTTTACTTCACTTTGTGCGATTTGCCCGTGTGTCAGCGCGTTCCCTGTCCATTTTCATGTCTTTTGTTTCGTCTTGGCCGATATTCCCACGCGCCGGAATTGCCCGATAGTCCGAGTCCCTGCATGAAGTGTTGAGATTAAGGCAGTGAGAAAGTACGAAGTAGGCAGTGTAAACATAGCACACAGGAGACAGGTGAATGCTCAGCATAACGTTCGGCGGCTATGAGCTAGGGAGCGATCAGCTATGCGGTACGAAGTACAATAATCAGGATCAAGTGAAACAGCATCCCCGATCCTTGGGATCGGCCAGTCGCCTCGTTAACCTCACCGAAACAATTCAAGTCAAGGCTCCTACAACTTAAGTGTTCCCTTGTGGATTGTTGAGGCGAGGTGGCCACTGTCGTCCCGTACCTTAATAAAGCGCTCCCTAATCCTGCTCAAGCTAAGCAAGAATACTCGCCGGTCGAGTATTCAACTGTATCTCCGCCTCAATTATACAGGGTGGATACGTCGATCCATGAAGGTTGGTTCGGAGAGAGTCAGGGGGAAATGATCAAGAGCCAGGATACGGAGAGTACTTACTGGAATGTTATTGTCCAACGAAGACTAATATGCTCGAAACCGTCTAGCCTCATTCTGACACGAACAAGCTTACCTAAAGTTTTCCTGGCCAGGTGGCCGGGACACCGGGTATTGTGGATGATATCCAACGATACTCATAAATGTGGGATCTGTTGCAGCTTCATATAATCAGTGCAACGACGCAATCAGAGTACCGTGTCCATTCTACTTATATTTCTTGGCCACTACTATTTAGAGCCTCGCGATGAGGAGGATAACTGTTACAAAATTAGCGTGAGAGTTCTACCTGCATATGGGACTCCAACTGAACATCCTACAGTGACCACACGTGATAGAGGAAAACAGTGCATTAGGCGCCTTCTGGCTGACATGGAGTACCTAGCAAAGTTTATTCAACTTATCATAATGAGCAAGGTTCACGCGTAGGAATGGTTTCCAGCTCTTCTTGACGCAAGGTAATCACAGTAAGATATCACAAAACACTGACAGCTTACAGTAAGTAGCAGTTAGTCTAGTAGCTATGGCTAAGAAAAAGAGCGCTGATTAGCTGATAACCCCGCGATTTCTGTTGCGCCCCAAGGCAACCACAGCTGCAGCTAGCTGTCAGTTCCGTCTGTTCTAGCAACATCCTTTCTCGTGTCGACGATGAGTCGGGACTCGGGAGCGAATGAGACTTGACTTCCAATCTCCTGGAACCCCATGACAGCATGATCCTTGCTGACAGAAATAGCTGAGCTCAATACTCCATACTCTACAGTCACTCTGACTCTGTAGTCAGGTGTAGACATACGTAACATGCTGGACTTGATGCCGTGCGTTACTCCGTAAAGGTGTGAGATACATTGATCACCCTAGTCCCCGTCCACACTGGAGACCGCTAGTTATCTCCGCATGGATTCTAGGCCTTCACGTCGTACAAAGTCCGATTTTAGAGTCTTAGTACCCCGTACGGATAGTCGGATAACCCCAACGTCTCCTGTCTTTAGCAAGCTCGATGACCTGTCTGTTTGATTGTTGTGGGATGAATCTCTTGGCTCTAGATCCTGGTCGAAGTGAAACACCTGGTAGGAGCTACCTTAGTCTAAAGTACCTAATTAGGTATGATTATGAATGGTATCTGGTATTTTTTGATTCAAAACTTGATACCTGGGCTGTACACACAAAAAAGTATTGGGCGTGGAATCCCATTATGCCCGCCACAAGTGGCACAAAATGTCAATGATAGAATAAAGCAAGCAAGCAACGGCGGATAAGCCATCAACCCTTTACACCCCCTAGCCAAATGGTAATTCTATCCGAATCTAACTACTGCACAGTCTGCACTGGGTATGCTGTGTGATTGTGTCATGATAGCTAACTCAGGCAGCATTAATGCCTCACTCCCCATCGGCCATCGGCACATCCTTGTCCTAGACTAACCCCCGAATCTACTAGTGTCCGTCATTGGGAAATTGGTACCTCTCTGGCTTTCTCATTCTCAGGTTAGGTTCCCCTCTGGCCTGGAAATAACGGAATGCCATTCATTTTTCCCCTCCCCGTCGCATACCAGGGAATCTCATCTCCCCGGATCCTTTATCCGGAAATGTCAGGAGAGGACGATCAACAGTAGCATGTACTTTTTTGTTTCCCTCTCTTCATTTCAAGTAATCTCTGCGAACCCGCAAATCATCTACATATCAGACCGCACAGTGTCGAAGTATATACTTGGCCAACCATTGCCAGATGGTATGTGTCGTCGATCGTGCAAGCCACAGTGGTGGCGGCCTGGTATCTAACCTACCTTAGTTTCTTAGATACTGGCTGGAGTCCTGGATATCGGACTCTGGATTCCAATTGGCCGTCCCCCACCCTCCACTAGGCATGGAATGGAATTCGCAGCAGATAAGTATCAAGCAGGAAATACTTGCCCTTCTGTAATGGCGAGCCACAAGGGTAAACAATCAAACATTGACACGAGTCGTCATTGTGCATTCTGAAACAAATGCCTCTCTGACTAGGGAAAAAAGAGCAGAATTAGTCTGTCTACTTACATGACACTAAGTGGGAGCCACAAACCGTTTCCGATATGTCGATCCTTGGCTGACGTTGCCCGTCTATGGCAGGTAAAAACTGGAAATAAATCGGAAATCCTCGCGACTTGCGACCTTTTTCGATGAGGCCCCACATGACTTGGAATCTCTACGATTCACTTAGTAATAATGTAATAAGCCCCTGGAAGAGAAGCAAACAACTTGCGGCTCAGGACAAGGTACCAGAAAGGTAAAAATGTATAGAGAGAGAGGGAGAGAGAGGGGGGGGGAGAGAGAGAGAGAGATTAAGAAGTGGCGCTCTGGAGTTCAACCTCCCACCTACAAAGTAGCGCTTTCACGCGATCATCTATCTAATGTCTTATTTGCTGGCTTCAGATCATTTATTGGATTGGCTCGAGAGTACCTTGGACCTGGTAACTATACTAGGTTCCTAGGAGTAGGGTGCTATGTATTAGATAGTAGTAGGATTGGACGGTGGACTTGAACTTGGAGAGCCACAGTAGAGAAGGGACAGGGTTAGCGCAAAACTTAATTTGCGGCATCATGGCAAGTATGGTATCAATAAGGACAGAACGCCTCTCCAGCCTTTTAAATAGGGTAATCAGAATGTAAGACAGAGTCGCCAGGGCTAAAATCAAGTGTACATCAAGAGAAGTCCGAGTGCATGTGTAAGACAATTACTTAATATCTTGAAAACATCTCGCAGCGAAGAAAAATCCATGATAGCGTCGTGTTCGGCATCACAGGACGTGCACAGGAGGAAGGTTTGAGATAGCTGATCAATATAGGCGCAAAGGCATTGGGAAGAGCAGATGCCTGGGGTATCCGTGTTGCAATATATCAAAAACGTAATGGTGAGAGTCCATTTGCAATTCCAGGGTCAAGCTCGAGACCACATCAACCTACTCCGAGGAAACCCCAATCTGTTCCTTCAGGTTGATTCAGGATTCGTGTCGGTTGTTTATAGTGAAAATTCTGATTGTATGAAATCATGAGAGGGTGCCCTTCAGCCATAGGCTGCGCAACAAATGTTTGCTGCTGCTGCTGCTGGAACCCGGGTGGTATATAGCTTTGGTTGGTTGTATCGTACCGCTGCTGCATGAGCTGCTGCATGTACTGCTGTTGCGCGTGCTGTACATCAAGCGGTGACGTGACAGGGACACTCTGGGTCATTATTGGCGGCGTATCGTGTACTGGGATATGAGTCACAGGCAGACTTTGTTGTGGATAAAAGTCCTGACTCGGCGTCGACGGCTGGTGGTAATACTGTTGCTGAGCAAGGAGATACTGGTCGTTTGGGATTGGAGCAGCGACTGGGGCCTGGTAAGATTGCTCCGACATCGCATCCTCAGACGGCGGTCTGGTCATTGTTCCTGGCGGGTGGGAACGGTGTTGATGCTTGGTTAAAGTGGTCTTACGGCAGAAGCTGGTCCAGAATGTTAGAGAGTCTTTGCAGTGGTCGGTACATGATCAGATTTCTTACCTTCTCTCGCATGTTGGTTCCTGGCAGATGTAAGGTCGCTTGCCAGTGTGAATCCGCCGATGACGGGCTAAACTTGATGACTGCGTATTTGTCAATTAGCAATAGCTTTTGAAAGCAATGCCCGGTATCAGTCCACTTACATCAGAGAAGGCCTTGTGGCAGCCTTCATGATCACAGACGTGAGGCTTTTCGCCAGTGTGTGTCCTCGAGTGTACAGTCAACGCGCTGCGCTGAATGAAACTTTTGTTGCAGTCCTTGACGGTACAATGATAAGGTCGCTCATTGGTATGTATCCGGTAGTGTCTGCAGAGATCGGATTTACGGTTGAACGACTGAAAACAGTGTCAAACCATTGGTTAGCGCAAATGGCTTCGTAATAGCTGTTGGCATCAAGATTTCCAACAGAACGGGAACGAACTAGGGCGGCAAAAAGCCCAATAAAGAAATAGAGGAAGCCCACCTTTCCACAGTGCTCCCAGGAACAATTGAAGTCACGTCCAACACCTGGGGCCATGGTTGTTGCGACGGAGTGATATAACTTTGGTAGATATGCAAAATGCTGAGGACCGGATATGATAGAGATAGGCGGGGCGATGGTTTTACCTTGAAATTGTGAAGGGCAAACTCGGAAGTGGGGAGATAAGCAGCACTGGCAGATCGAGGAAGATGTTTTAGGGGGGCTTATACAAGGGAGATAAATGTCACGGATCCTGAGGTGGAGACAAGCATGGAGAGAGTATTCCAAGTAGTGGGCAGAGAATGAGGCAGTTGAACAGAAATCTGCCTGGGAGACGCAGTAACAGATCAAAGAAGGACAAGGGGGACAAAGAATTGAATAATGCTAGAAGAAGCAGTATCAACCAAAGCTGCAGATACTCGGGTTTGTTGACTTGAAAGTTAAGCAGTCAAGATTGAACCAAGAGAAAGTTCCAAGAAACGATTGCCCGATGCGCTGACGATACAAGCAGAAGATGATGGGCTGATGGCGAAATCGGATGGGACGATGCTTCCGAATCCAGGTTGAAGCATAATAAGAGAAAGTGCTGTGATAGTTGTAGGTAGTGGTGGTGGTAATAGTTGATATTATATAGTCGAACAATAACAAATAGAAGACATTAAGGTGTCTGGTCGGGTGGAGTTGTAACGCACTGGTGATACGGGCGGGTGTGCCTTCTATGCTTCAATATCACTGAGGGACAGCTGTCAAGCCAGGCAGACCTGAAGATAAACAAGCGCTCCCAAACGATCGATATAACAGCACTGGAATACTCAAAGGATAAGAGAACAGCCAGATATCGGATGGAAAGGGGGAGGTAATAAGGAAAATGGGGTGAGAATAAGAGGGAGTGAAAATCGAGAGGAAGTGAGGACGATTTTCAGTGTCTGAATTCTTAATTTTCGTTTCTATTTTATTTTGTTTTATTTTATTTCATTTTATTTTTATTTTTATTTTTTCATTTCCGATCGGTTTTATTGTCTAGTGAGCAGGACGTACAGCATGTATTTTCATCAATAGGTAATAATGTACATCAAAATAATAATATTATTATTAGTGTACAAGTTGCCTTTAGAACCCATAGGTACCTCAGACCAATAATCAACTACCATTAACCAAGGCTACCTAAGTGGACAATTAGACTTGGCAATTTCCCCCGGAAGGCTGGTGGCCGCTAGTAGGAAGGACTTCAGCAAGTCTCGAGTCAGCTATTCTAAGGTACGGACCACGGAGTAGTCGATAGATACCCTTGTAGGTACTGCGGTAGTATAACTTGGATATTAAGGTAATATGGATCAATGGTACCAGAACACAGAGGGAGACGATGGCGGAAAAAACCTAAGAGCAGCAGTTACCTACTTATTTCGTACGATTTTACAGGAACATTACCATACTCTACGAAGTAGGCCCGACGAGAATGACAAGGCTGAGGTAGTCCAGTCCGTCCATAGCCAGGGTCCTAAATTTTGACCTTGTATTGTCGTTGTACAGGTCGTAGATAGGAAGCAAAAGAAAAGAAGAATAAGAAACGGAACATCGATACACGAATCCCAGGTGCCTACATCCTTTTAGATACTCAATGCAGACGGTCTTACAGAGGTTGATTGCCTACAGGCTACGTCCCTATGTAACTCACTTTGAGGTACTTCGCTGTATCCTTGTACCTACTGATAAATGCACCCAAATACCATATTAGGAAACACACGATAGTGACACCATAGTTTCAAAGGGACTGGAAACTGCTGAGGGAGGTTAAGTACGGGTCACTATATTAGTAGCTTTATCATTCCAGTAACTTATTCAAAATGCTTCGTGGGGCCCGACCTAGACCCAGATACATTTACTACTCTAGTCTCGACGGAGTACTAGCGCCGTGAACATTAAGGGCTCTTGAGTGCTACTTCTCCTAAGAGTGCTAAACTAGACTAGATACTGAACAGTGTTCCGGTCAATGTTATTTGGCGGGGATCGGAGGTACCCACCCGGGTTCCCAATACCGGCCTAGACCCTTTACAGACTAAGTGAGAGAGTACAGTATTAGTCAATGGAGAATGGTGGCTTGCTAGGAGCAATAAATTCGCGTCAAATGGCAGCTGGCCTTGGAAGACACTTGAACTAGTGCAATTAAGGCCTAGTCTCGCTGCATGGCGCAATACAACCTACTTGATTGTCCAATTCACTTGTATTGTATGCATGGTAAGATTTCCAATCCATCCATGGATAGGAGGTTTCGACGATAATACGAGTCTTACCTATGTAATTACTGATAAGACGGATGCTGGTGAACTTCTGGCTCTGTCGTTGAGGCTACTATTTCCATACCCCAGGGTGACTAGACTGAGTCATGTATGGCCTTAATGATCATAAGATGTTGTAATAAGGTTCAATCAAACAGAAGAGGGGACTAATTAGCTTGTTCAACTACTTCTGAAGGCACGTAAATATGTATAGAAGTAGCAGTAGCAGGGTCTATCTAGGGACGAGTACTCCGTACATCAGGTATCTTCTCTTGAAGTCTGTACCACCCAGTCACCCACCTAAGCACTTATGCACCACCTTAAGAATGCTTGGAGCCAATCTCTCACTAGCGGATAAAGGAAGCTAGCTTGTCAGCTTGTGTCAAGCTCCATCCAGTGCATCCTTACAGGAGAGCTACCTAGGGGTTTATTGTTGCTACTTGTCCGCAGGCACGTTGTATGCAATACAAAAGCCAGCCCGATGCGACTGTAATCGCAACTACTATGTTTGAAGCAGTCGCAAAGAAAGGTCGAGAAAGAGAAAGAGCAGACATTGACAGTGCCAGTAAGGGATAAAGGATGGCCTTTCTGACATGATTATGAAGAAGAGATCGGCATCATTTCCGGGAATTTGCGAGTAATAGGAATAACTTATCTGCCTGCTTACTCGACTAAGGTATTTCTGGATATCAGTATCGCCATTGTTCCCGCGAATCAACCGCGTTCTCTATTGTCTGGCTTCGATAGTGAAATGGGAGCTTAAATCTGACCGTCCTGATTCTGTAAACGAAACAGGTTTCATACTGCATAACATTTCACACGTGGTTTACCGAGATATCGAGGATTCGTGTATCAGGTATCGTACGGAGTTTACCGATGTCTTCGTTGATGTCGGTCAGATGGAAAAAGGTCTTCGCATTACCGAATGGCCGACTCTTACATGGCCCGAGGTTACTGTCTCGCAAAATTGTATGTTTTCGACTTCTGATCGGAGGATCCAGTTGGTTTAGGGGCCAACTGTTTGGGCCGTTGATGGTATGCTGCCCATTAGTTGAAAGTAAAATAAAAATAAAAGAAAGAAGCTTGTTAGAGTTGGACTGGTCGGGAGACTGGATACAGGCATCATATGTTGGAAACCTCACTTATGCCTGAGGGGATGATACATCTCAGCTTCATCAATGGAAAGTTCTCCCTTCCTGTGCTCTCCCAGCAGTTCTCCAATGTTGATCCCGACTTTATCTAAATTCAAGCATACGAGGTCATCTGTACCGGTGCCAAAGGATGATGAGGCAACCATGAAGGATGAAGGATGAAAAGTGACAGATCACCACCTCCAGTCAAAATAAAATTCCACTACTTTATTCCACGCGTACTGCATACTGCTACTCATGAATTGTAAACCATGAAGATCTCTCTTGAATTGACTCTTGTGATTTGTGAAGTTGCGATCAATTTGCTCGGTGTCTGGATATTCGGGAATTGAAAAGAGATCCCTTACTACTAGCTACAGAGTAGTAGGGGGTTTACGAATGTCATTTGTTGATTGCTCTGTAGATCCCTCCCTAATCATGCTATTGTGATGAGTATGTTTTCTTTTTCTTAACGCTCCTGCCTTGTTTCAAAACATAGACTAATGGAAGTCATTTCCAAGCAGGCTGACTAGTCAGAGGTGATCGTTTGGAGTCCCAACATCAGTTTAGGGTATGCGTACCTCAAGCTTCTCGATATCATGTGTGCGGCTTCAGCAGGGAACAATCCAACGACAAATGCAAGTATGCCTTATCCTTGGTGACGACGGCTTACTGGCCTCTAGACTTGGGTAGATAGTGTATGTGTGCCCTTTCCTTATCCTCAGAAGACAAGTTGCGCCGTTCGAATGCATCTGGTTATCCGATTGACTTGACAGTTCCGTCCCTCCCCCACCCGAACGCAACACCAGCTATCCTAAAGGCACTATCAAGACCCCACAATCCTCCTAAGTGGCGCAATATAGTGCTGTGCCACAGCTTACTGTAATTACAAATCGCTGCGCTTAAAATCCTTTTGCGAACTCTGGCGCGGAATCCCGTCAATGAGGTGGCAGCATCGAGATAGATGCATCGTGCTTGCGCTGCAGGACTTACGTATCGCGCTGATCTCTACATACAGATTT